GGTTTCACTAAATTTCGCCATGCGCATAATCCCCCAGGGCAGGGCTTTCATTGCTAGGCTCCTCGCCCTGTTCCCCACTTTCGCCAACGACTATGTCCGCATATCCTTAGACTGTCCTGCGACCGCTGACCTCCAGATGTGGTACAAATTCCTCTCGGAATGGAATGGGAGGAGCATGTTCCTCCCGCAGATTGATTCACAGTCACCGGTCATTTGGACAGACGCAGCATCATCAGCGGGATATGCGGCCATTTTCGGCACAGAATGGCTCTGGGGGACCTGGCCTACAGAAACACAGGGCATTGAAGGTTTTCACACTAACTCAGCCCTATTTGAAGTATACCCGATAGTTGCCGCAGCTGTCACTTGGTGTAGGTTGTGGAAAGGTCAGTCCGTACGCTGCTTTTCTGACAACCTGGCAATATGCCACATTATCAATAAGGGTCGCTCTTCCTCCTTGGCGATTATGAGTTTCCTTAGGAAACTGACATGGCTGGCAGCTACCCATCAGTTCCACATTGTATACTCTCATGTTCCCGGCATATATAACACGGCAGCTGACCAACTCTCTCGCTTTCAATTTCAAGCTTTCAGACTGTCCCTACCCTCGGCAGCTTGTGTAGCAACCCCAGCGCCAACTTTCCAAGAACTTGTCATGGAATAGACGAACTACTTCAGCACAGCCACGTTCTCACCAAGTTAGCCTTATCGACCAGCACCCAACACGTGTATCACAGAGCTTTTCACTTGTACAAACAATTCATGTCTGACCATCACCTAGCCAACTGGTTCGAGGTTTCTTCACTGATAGCTTTTGCATCTTTTTGCCACCTTAAATTTAAATTCTCACATAATACTATTAAGCTGTACCTCACGGGCATACAACACTATATGTATTGCTCCTTCCCTAACCACAAAGGGTCCTTAACTTCTTACCCCATCCGAACACTACTGAAAGGCATAGCAAAAGCGGACGGCCCTGCAACTCCCAAGAGACTTGCCATTGACATTAAAATGTTCAAATCCTTGTCCAACCTTCTCGACCAGGCTCCATTTGAACCCCATATGAATGCGGTCATTATCATTGCCATTTATCTAGCGTTCTATGGGTTTCTTAGACCAAGAGAATTCACCATTAGTGGCCAGCACCATAGCCAAGGGTGCCTCCTCACCTCCTACCTCCAGAAACACACAGACTACTACGTCCTGACCCTACCTAAGACCAAAACAAGTCAGATGGGGGAACCGGTTCACATAACCTACTACCCCACAGGGAACAATTGGTGTCCGGTGCAAGTACTGGACGCTTTCTTAGCTACAACATCAACACGCACCACAAAACCACTACTAAAGCTACACGATGCAATTCTAACCACGGCAAAATTCATGCTTTAGGTCCGTATGCTTATCACCAGACTTGGTCTTAATCCTAGCAACTACTCTGGGCACTCCTTCAGAATTGGAGCGGGCTCCACGGCATCTAGCCAAGACATCCCAGCACACGTAATTAAGACACTGGGTCGCTGGAAGTCCTCTGCTTACACCACTTATATTCCAAACCCAGTCCAAGAGATTAGGAGGGCTTTCATTAAAATGTCTATTTAAATATGTAATGATGTACTATGTTTTCTGATTAAATGTTATCTTTGATTTATCTCTTTTTGCCCACTTTATTTACCGGCCTACAGCATACATCGGTTTCGGCACACCTCAACCGACTATTTCCTTGTTATGTTATTTTCTCTCCACCAGCATATTTCATATCCAATGAGAATGCCCCGAACACAAATTGGAAGGCATGGCCTGAAGTTGTGGGAGGGGCTATAGACCTAATTAAGGGATTCCCCCCTTCCTTTACTTACCTTCGTTGGTCTGGACGAACAGGCCCACCCTCCACTCCCATTAGCTATACTTTCCTCTATGTGGGCCCACTTTATTTACCGGCCTACAGCATACGTCGGTTTCGGCACACCTCAGCTGACTATTTCCTTTTATGTTATTCCTCTCCACAAGCGTATTTCATATCCAATGAGAATGCCCCGAACACAAATATATATATATATATATATATATATATATAT